ATTTTAGATTTTGGCCCCTTCTCTGATTGAGTTCGACACCCCTACTCTAGACTATGAAACTCATTCTCTGGATGTGTTACTTTTGCAAATGAGCAATTAGTACAGACAATTCTGTAAATACTCTTTAAGCAATAGTATAAGCTTTTAGGAGGTAGTTTTTCTTAAATCAGCTTATAACATTTTTGTTTTTCTATTTTAAAATCTGTTGGATCCATGGATGAGTTAAAATATAATTGTACTACATACTAGTAGGATTAATTTTTATACAAAAACCTAATCCTGTAAGTTAAGGGGAATAGTGACACATTGGTATTTTTTAGGGTTTCCTATTGGCTTATGTGGCAAGTACTGGATATTTCTTAACCATGGTAAATAGGAGAAAAACTTTAGGAGAAAAACTTCCCTTTTCCTTCATCAAAAGAGCCTTACTAATTTTCTTTACTAAAGGATAGTTGGCATAAATTTGTAAATATACAAGATTTATTATAGAGCATAATATCATTTGAATTACTATTTACATCTTTCCCTACACTCTGTCATTCCCTCTGTGATTTGGTAAGCAGACTTCACATTAAGAAGAGCTTCCTGGCCGTAGCCAATTTGGCTCAGTGAATGAGCATTGGCCTATGGGCCAAAGGATCCCAAGTTTGATGTACCTTGGTTGCAGGCTCCTCACAGGCCCTGGTCGCCTCATGCAGGAGGCAACCAATCAGTGTGTTTCTTTCACATCAGTGTTTTTCTCTTTCCTTCTCTCTCCCTAAAACTCAGTTGAAAAATACCTTTGGGTGAGGATTAACAAAAAAAAAAAAAAGAAGAGCTACCTGTATTAACATTAGCTTCAAACTTAATAAACGTAAGATGTTTGTAAGTATAATTATCTTATATTTAAATTCACAGCTACAATATATTTGCACCAAAGCTACATTTTCCCCTCCAATAAATCCTGCTATGATACTCTGATGTCACTACTGTTTACCCTAATACAATTAGAATGATTACTTGCT